GAGAGAGTGCACGCACACACACTAGGTGCAGAACTGGGAGAAGGAAACAGTCTGGAATCCAAGAACAGGGTTTGGAGGTGGCAGGAAGCTGTTATCTTTGCCTGGTAGTAGAAGGCTTGTATGACCAGGCATTCCTGGATAGTGGGCACAAGACTTCTGGAGGCTGTGGGCTGTTCCTGCACAGGGGATCTTCCTGTGTGAAACATGGAGGAAGACTTACTTCAGAGTCAGCAGCTGTCTGAGGGGAAGCTTGGAAGAGGCCTGAGGGTCCCCCTGCTCTGGAACTCTGCCCGGTACTCTGGGAGAACCTTTGAGGAGTTTACCAGTGGGCGCTGTTTCTCACTTCAACCCTAAACTTTACCATTCCCAACTACAAGAAAGTGCTAGCATGGTAAAAAAGAACAAAGGGGACTCAAGGATTCAAATTCTAAAGACCTTACAGGTCTAACTTTTCATCTTGCCAAGTGAAAATGGCAGCCTGTCTGAGGCCCAGGGAGATTAAGGAAATTGTTGAAGGGTGTGCAGTTACCTGTATCAGAACCAGGGCTAGAATTTCTGTTCCTGCGCTTTCTGCCCAGTCTTCTTTCTTTTATAATCTCCTAATTTACATTTTTATACCATGTAACAGAGGTGTATGCTTCTAAAGTTTTCGAATACTTGTTTTATCTGTGAATCAGAATTTAAGTAATTGAATATTTGCATATAAGAGTAATGCAAATAGGGTGTATTCCTTAAAAATAAAGAATATCATTATATTTCAGTGTAGCAAGGGATAAAAAAATAAAGAAGCATCGACCCATCTCAATACATGTCAAGGTGGCATTAAAGAAAATTTTGTGTTATTTTATTAAAATCCTAAACTAATCAGAAGTACAGTGCTTTTTTTAAATTCAGCTAGACATGTTAGTATATGGAGGAACACTAAAATCACTGCCTATAGAAATAGAAGTGAACGAAGAAAGATTTCACACTCTTCTTGTACTAAAAGTCTAATCAGAAATGTTTTCAGTAAAAAAGGAATAAATCATAGGCAAGAAACATTGATATTATATTTAGTTATATACCTAGAACACTGACACTAACCAAAAATTGCTACATAATAATTTCAGCAGGTTCACAGATGTGAGATTCATCTATAAAAATCAATATATTGATGTTATCACTGACATATCACAAGAGAATACAATGCATAAGAGAGCTGCATTCATAGTAGTAGCAACAACCATATTTTAAACACTCAACTATTCATTTAATGTAAAGCCCAAGAAATCCATTTCTAGAAAACCGCAATGGAACAAATGAAGGAGTGGAGAGAGACAGGGTGTAAACATTTCTATCGGTGAGGAAGATCCAACAACCGGGTTATCAGATGCATGCATGGCATGAAGCTTGAAGGATAAGAGATGTGCAGGTAATAGACGTACAGTAGAGAACTAGAGCATCAGTAACAAATCATGAAACCACACAGAAGTAAACGCCACCTCTTCCAGCGCAGGCCAAAGGAAAATCTCCCGCCGAGACAGGGTGAGGGGCCTGTGCTGTGATGCAGTGAATGAGAACCACAGCGAGAGGTGGCTGTTGAGAATCCAAGTGTGTGGGCTGGGACTCAGCTCAGTGGTAGAGCACTTGCCTCGATTTGAGAGCACTGGCAACAAAGTCATGGTGTGGGCCTATCCAGAACTAGCAAAATTACTAGCAGAAATACAGTGCCTAAAACAAGGCAGGAGAGAGCACTTGTTCCACCCTTGCTTCTGGGAAACAACTATCCCAGAGCTTGGGGGGGGGTGAGATGGTTCGCTGTGGTTCTTTGGTGCCTGCATCACAGCAGGCATTTGATAAAATGAAATATTTCTTACTATTAATTTAAGCTGTCACACATCTTTAAACAAGTAAAGCTCGTTTTGAAATTAAACCCAGTGTCGGCAAGTTTATGAGAAAAGAAGACATGCATACATTCTCCGCGCTTGGTTTTTCTGAAGAACAGTTTCACAATAGGACCAGAGAACCATAAAGCCGTCTTTCTTCTTTGCATGTTAATTCCATTTGGGCAGCTATATAAGGAGGAAATAATTCCAAAAGATTTTTTTATAATTTTGTTTTATAAGGATGTTTATTATGACAGATTAAATAAACCAAATGCTAAAAATCGGACTGATAAAGGGCATCGTGAAAAATTGGCACCATGGAATCTCAGAGAGCATCAGCTTTCTAACTGCTTCATGAAGAGCTCCCAGACATCCCATAGGGGGCGCCACGGAAGTGTAGGTGTTTATTGGGAATGTGTGGGTGACTAACTCTGTCTCCATTTGAGACAGCCCTGTCTTTATGAATTAGGATTCTACTGCAACCCCAAAAGTTTTAAAGTCTTTGTAAATATATACATAGACTCTATCTATAAAAAATTGTATGGTTTTTATGGTTATTAATACATAAATTTTATGTAATTGTTTTTCACCAACACAGCACAACTAATATCTGTCATTCAAAGATAACTTACCCACGCTTCCAGATTTAGGAAACAAATATCTAAGTCAAAGGAAGTAGGTAGGAATCCTGGCTCTAGCATTCACTAGTGTTTTATCACAGGGAAGTTAAGTAATCTCTCATTTCCTCATCTACTAAATGGGAACTGGCTGCAACCTTGCTGAATAGTTTTGTTGGGAACTGGCTGCAACCTTGCTGAATAGTTTTGTAAGTGAAGAACCTAGCACAATACCTGAGACTTTAAAAGTATAAATAAAAAGTAGCTGTGATGATCTTTATAATTATCCAAAATGTCTAAGTCCTTTTGTACAAGCATAGTCTTGTACAGCCATTGTATCTGGACAAGGTAACAGATTTGACTTTAACAAAATTTTAATGAGACATTTCAAATACCGTTACTGTCAGTCCTTCAGACCATTTCTGTCTTAGCCACGGCGTTTTGAATTGGTAGTATCCTATGTTAAGATTACCTTTCATATCTGTAGTCTGAACCGCAGAGATTCAGCCTGCAGACTAAAGTTTTCCATCCTCACTAACAACAAATCATTTGTGTAAAGAAGATCAAGAACAAAGTCACAAAGGGTTATTAGGACCTTCTGCTCTTGTGTACCAATAAATAACTGCTAATCCCAAATAATTCTGTTATTTTAAAGGCTGGGAAGAAGGTACTTTCTATCTGTTAATTTGAGGTTCCCAAAGCAGCATGTCACTTAAACACTGTAAGTATAGACCGAGGGATTCCTGAATTGGCATGAACTCTTGAGAGTGGCCAGTTTTAGATTCGAATGACCTGCATATTAATTAGGTTCTCAGCTGCCAAGCTGCTATGACAAACCAACAAGTACAGAGTTTCAAATAAGATGTATTTATTTCTTTTCCACCTAACAGCCCAGAGGTGGCTGAGCCATCCAGTGTGGGTGCAGAACTCAGCTCCCAGAGGTCAGCGTAGCACCCAGGTTGCATGTACCCCCTTGAACAGTCTCATCTGCATGGTCAAAGCTGGCTCCTGCCGCCATGTTCAAGTTCTGGCCTGTGGACCTGCATGGCTCAAACCACATCGACATTGCAACCTGGGGAAGGAAAGAGAAAGAAGACAACACATACTCAGTCATTTTAAGGGCAAGCAGTAGAGCCTACAAATGTCACCTTGCTTTTGTCCCATTGCAAAAGCGTAGCCACATCACCCAGCCTGGCTGGCGGGTACCCAGCTCAGACTCAGTTCTGTCTCTAAGAGAAAGAGGAAGAATGGACAATGGGGGTAGTTATCAGTCTCAGCCATGGTCTGGAGCCTCCAAGTTGACAGAAAGGAAAGTTTTGTTTTATTGGTTTAAAATGGATTTTTTTTTTTTCAACCAGGGATCAAACTCAGGCCCTTGTGTTTACGAGGCAGGCGGCAGAACTACTGAGCTAAATCCTCGGTCCTTATTGGTTTAAAATGGATTTTTATTTCTTCAAACATAAAGGAAATGTTGCCTTGTTATTTTATTTTGTGTCTCTCACTAAAAGAAACTTATTTGTAATGCAGAGTGTACTTTTTATCATCCTAGGAGACTCAGCCAAAGGCCTACAACTGAAGAATTGGAGCAAAGAAATATCCTAAAACGTGAGTGTCCCATACTAGATAGTGACTCCTCTGGGAACTTTTTTTTTTGGTACTGGTGATCGAACTCGGTTCCCTTGAGCTTGTGAGGCAGGCGGTAGAACCACTGAGCTAAATCCCCAGCCCTCCTCTGGGAACTATTGATCTGTTTCAGAGACAGTTGTCTCATAGGAGGGGACCATAGCACTTTAACTTACTCATAACTGACTGAAATGGCCCTTTTATGTTATATGTAGATATTATTATAATTTTTAAAATAATTTCTTGAATTTTATATTCCATTTTGTAGTTTTAAGCCAGATATCCCCCAGACTGGAGTTGTGACTACAATCATTGTTTTTGAGAAAGATAAAAGACCAAAGAATCTACAAGGAAATAACCATCCCTATATTATCAGTGATAGTACAGTTTGTTGCTAGATTTAACAAACTACTCAGTTTAAAACAAAATTCTGATGAGAGGAATTTTTGAGTCCATTTCATTTTCCTATGTTATGATAACTCTGGTTCCCTCTTGAGTTACAGTTTTTCAGCACTTAAGGAGTTCTCCATTCATTTTCCTACTTAATTTTTCCAATTCTGTGTTTCTTTCTGGTCTCAGAGAAATCCAGTGTGTCATGCCATCGTATATCCATGTGAGTTAAGAAGTAGATAATTTCAAATGGAGCCTGGCTGTAGTTTTCTCTATTAACCCAGTTGCAAAAGAGCTTTTCTACTACAGGAAATGCTGAACAACAGAGATTGGTAGAATTGCATGTAGCAGTAACTGCAGTAAGACCAGCCACTGGCCAGAGGGAAATCCTTTCCAACCAGGCTTGCAGGGTTCACATGGCCTGCTGACGACCCATATTTTATGACAGTTGCCATAACTAAAGCAGTCCAATAATGCAGATTTTGCAGTGGGAGGAGCACCACCTACCCAGTCTGTGGGATCTTTTCTCCTCACGAGGCGTTTTTTTTGTTTTTTCTGGCTGTTTTTGATCTTAAGTGAAATAGAACCCAAGGAAAGATTTAGGTACCTGTCAGTGTGTAGAAGTGCTGGCCTGAAAGAGGGGGAGTTCATGGCTAGAAAAGGATCATCGTGTGTTTTAGCTTTTCTGGGGACAATGAAAGCAATTTTGACAACCAAGCAAAACCCCAAAGCTTCATTGCTTTCCATAATGGGGTCCTGAGAACTATTTATTGAATTAAATTTTAAGTGAGCTCAAATGCAGACTATGCTCCATACCCAGAGATGAGGTCTTATTCGATGCTCAAGGCAATAGCTAAGGGAAAAAGGAGGGAGAGCAAGTTCTGGGTGATTCTTCCTGCTCCGGTGAGATACAGGTGCCGAGCACATTGGAGTTTGGTTGTTTAAGGAACTGTTTCATGGATCCAGAAATTTATTGCATGTCGATCTTAAGTCCTGCGTTGGCCTGGGTACCCTGTTTTCCTGGAGGTGCAGGAAAGAGTAAAACACCGAAGTCAGCTTCAGACTTGACTCCAGGCCTCTTTCACTTCCTTCTGAGTTCATGTTGATTCTGGAAGCAAGAGGCAGATTTCCAGTCTGGAGAGGCGGTAACTGGCGAGGGTCTCCCGACGCAGGAATGTTTGGCCAGGGGAAGCAGACAAAAGCGGGGGAGGCTCCTTCCACCCACCCTCCCAGGCTTTCTGCTCTGCAGCCGCAAGTGGCAGAACAGCTTTTCTTCCAAACATTGCCTTCAGCTTGGTTGCCTCTGGGTTCTTCTGCATAGACTGCTCTTGCTTGTATGTTCCCTCTCCAGCTCTTGTTCAAAAGCAACATGATGGACTATTTGAAAAAAAAATCTGTATGTGATATAGTGTGGATTTAAGGACACATACTTTAGCCAATGCTGGTGGCACGCACTTATCATCTTAGCGTTTGGGAGGTTGAGTCAGGAGGATTGCCATGAGTTGTTTAGGACCAGGCTGGGGATATAGGTCAGTACAAAGGTCCTGAGTTCAATCCCCAGTATTGAAAGCAAACAGACAAAAACAAAATAAAACAAAACAAAAAAACCCTCATGGAAATAATGTAAAACAGAAAAAGTGAAACAAGCCCACAAGCATAAGGCTTCTGTGAACACAATTTATCTGAATTGATGACTCAAGAATATAATACTCCGTTTGCTGGTATCGCTGTACTTTCTCTTTTAGCGCTTCTATAAAAATGCAGGGGCAGAGCTGACTAGCCAGGCAGGTTTCCTGTGGTGTGTACTGCTATTAAGCCACAGGCATTGTTTTTGTGTTTATGGGAAGTGCTTCCTGGCTATTCCACAGTTGTCTACCCCTCTGTGTGAGTTACTGAGAACAAACTTTTTCAATGAGCTGTGCCACTTCCTTCTTGAATATCCCTTCAGTCTCTTTAAAGGGCCCACAAAAGTTTACATCCTACCTTATAATTCATCTTCTAATGAATTAAAAGGAGACAGAAGCTGGGAGAGGTGGTGCACACTTATAATCCCAGCACTCTGGGAGGCTGAGGCAGGAGGATCACAAGTTAGTGCCTAGCCTGGGTGATTTAGTGAGACTCCGTCTTATTCTGAAGGCTCTGGGATCAGTCCCTGGTGTTGAGGAAAAAATAATAATAATAACGGAAACAGAAAAACTCTGTGAATTTTTAAATACAACCATTAAGTTTAATCTTGACTCTTTGTAAGAGATTTTTACGTGACTGTTAAGAAGTTGCAGAGTAACAGTTATGTTGCCCTCTCTCCACCTCTTGCCTTTCTCCTCCGGCTTAGTTAGGACAGTTTTGAATGGGAAACGTAAGGTAGTCAGTTCCCGATGTCCAAAATGAATTCCCAGATGGTAAAATCCTGTTTACTTAACTGCATTTGGCCCTTTTTTTCTTAAACATGGCTGGCTGGCACCTAGTTTATAGTGTGTTTAATAAAGCAAAACTAATATTCTCTCTGAGGAAATTACATTTTGCATATTTAATGAAAATTATAGCATGTCTTAGCTTTGGGAAATATTAGATATCTTTTTTTATTGTTATTAGTATTTTTCTTTGAAAAGTATCTTAAAATGTAGCTTAATGGCTATATGGGAAGAATTGAATAAAATGTTTTAAAGATTTTATTTTTAATTAACAATATCAAAATTCTTTCCTTTTAAAGCCTTAGTTTTAATCACAAGAACCTATTGTGTATAATTGATAATTCACAAGCTTTATACAACTCATGTAATCATTTGAAACCATGTATATGTTTTAATGGTATGAAAAGACACATTGTTTTTAAATGGGAAAACCTACAATATGTTCCTAGTAAGAAATTTAAATTATAGCCAAATTTGTTTGACATTTCTTGTATTTATTTGTCTTGTGGGTAATTTTAATTTATGTTCACTCTGTATTAAAAACCTTTCTTATTAATCAAATCATCCTCTTATCCCTATTCTTATTAATAAAAAATCAGTGTTTTGGGGAAATGTAGACACTCTTTCCTATCCAGAAAAGGGAAAATTTGTAGAGAATGTAGGCTGCTCAACTAAAAAAGTTACAAATATTATTTATTATTTCATTTATAAAAATAACAGTATTAGGAAGTCTATTTGAAGTGTTAGAAACAATTATCTTTTCATATTAGAGATTTCTCTTCTTCAGCTTTTTTGTTGTATGGTGTGCTTTTCCTTCAGTGGTGTTCATAATAGCACTTTCTACGATGTATCTTTCATAAGCATTGGCATGAAAGAGGTAAAAATCTATGCTCATTTATTGAACAGATAAAAAGCTGCAGGGAGCAACAAAAGTTCCCCAAATAAGCAACCAATAAAACCTAAAGCAGTGTTTGTTTCTTTAAAAATTGTGAACATTTTTAAAAACCCATCTGTTAGCATTAAATTGTACTATTCGTTGAAACACTAGAGAAAGAAGACCTTGGAAAGTTAAAGCCACAGGAAAATAAATAATTCCCACCCACAGTACACCATCGCTCCATTTGGAACATTCTGGTGTGAAAGCAAGGGCCAAAGAAATGCTTACATTCTGCTTCTATGGAAACTGAGGAAGACAGAGCAAGTATTTTGGTTGGATTGGAATGGAAATCAGCAGCTTAGACATGCATCGGATGGTTCCAATTTGCTCTTTTAGGATGCCCCAGGTTTTTCAGATGAAGCCAGAGGCAGAATTAAAAGTTTTCTCTGAATTCTGATAAATCGTGCTTATAGGCCCATGAACAGGACAGCAATAAAAAGGCTTTTGCCAGAGTGTAGTTGTGCTTGTGTTTTGGGATCTTTTTCTTTTCTTTTCTTTTCTTTTTTCTTTTCATAACAGTAGGGAATCAGGAAGCAAAAAAGTTTGAAATTAGTAAAGTAAATCAATGGGTCCTACAAGGCAAAAAATCATATATATACATATAGATATCTATGTGAATATGTATACAATCAATCTTTCTGAAAAATCTTTTGGCTCTTTTTTTAAGATATTAGTGGAGTGGATGGACTGCGGATGTAGCTCAGTGGTTCTGCCACCTGCCCTGCAGGTCCCAAGATAATCCCCAATACAAAAAGAAAAGAAATGTTAGTGAAGCGTTTGATCAGTGTTTGTTAGTCAGATAATTGTGACCTGATAGAACACTCTGGCTATATATATATGATATATATATATATATATCATATATATATAGCCAGAGTGTTCTATCAGGTCACAATTATCTGACTAACAAACACTGATCAAACGCTTCACTAACATTTCTTTTAAGCAAAAATGGAACTTAAGCGTCGACTCAGCCGGAAGGTGAAAAAATTATAACTGTTAATGAGCATGTGTGTTGGGATACACTTTATTCTCATTTTTTAATACAAATCCACTCTCCACGTGGAAATCTGATGCTTAAGAAGAATTATTCCTCTTCATCTGCTAAATAATCATAGACACTAAACTCAACATAATACACACAATATAATTATGCAGATTATGTTAATTTTGAAATGGCATAGGTTTTTCAGTTATATTTACTGATTATGAAAATACATATTCTGTATCAAAAATTTTTGAAGCACAAAAAGGAATAAAAAATTTCCACAGAAATCTTCCACTTAGAGAATGATGATTAACATTTCAGTGCAGATATTTCCATTTTTAAAAATATAGCTTCAGCCAGATGTGGTGGTGCATGCCTGTAATCCCAGCCCTTGGGAGGCTGAGGTGGGAGGATCACTGTGAGTTTGAGACCAGCCTGGGCTACATAGTGAGTTCCAGGTCAGTCTCAACTACATAGTGAGAACCTGTCTCAAAAAGAAAAACAAACAAACAAAAAATAGCTTCAGGGCCAGGGATTTAGTTCATTGGTGCTGCTGCCTGCCTTGCAAGCAGAGGTCCCGAGTTTGATCCCCAGTATAAAAAATAAAGTGTGAGCATTTTTGAAGACATGTACGTGGCTTCCCATTTAGTCTTGGAAATGCTAGTTAATGAGTATTGTGAGGTTATTTTGTGACCATTCTGAGACAGTTTTCCACCATGCCATATCAGACATGGGTAATTTATTAGTGAGTTTGACCATCCCGCCCGCCTGCCACGGCACTGCCCAAACTGACAAAAAGCTTTCTTCCAGAACTCAGGCAACTGTGTCCCTGTATTTCGTGGAAATGTAAATCTGATTCCAGGGATGACTTCTTTTCTGTGTTAAAATAACAGTCTTTGGAAAAATTAAGCACTGTTAGAATTTACATTTCCATATAAACCCATGTAATAATTCTTCAGATAGACCCTTCCTGTCCGAACAAGGGCTGTGTGACTAAAATACGACACTGCTGTCAAGTGTATGCCCTGACCACACTTCCGAGGCCCGTCTGGGGAGTGCCCCGCAGAAGCATGCTAAGCTACAGGAAATGCTCTGTTCCTATGGGAAGTTACGACAGGATTTGTTTACTTTGGTTTTCCCAAGCAAGATCCTTTTTTCCCTCAAAGAGATTCAGTTTTTCCTCAGAGCTCCTAATGTCAAATTGCACTCGAGCTGAGACAGCGCCACCTCAGCCCCTCAGGATGGCTCCATAGCAGTCAGTGGCCCTAAGTCACCTGCTGCACACAGCCCAGGCTCACTCCTGGGACGCACGGACCCTTTCTTCAGTCCACCTGAGCCATGGATGAGGCAGAACTCCTGCTCTCCCACCCCCGTGGGCCCAACATCCTGCACTCCCTTCCTCCGAGCAGGTCCTCCTTCTGTCCTCTTTCCCCGCAGAGGCAGGAAGAAGTGGCTGTGTAGATCGGGGGACACTTCAGATGTAGCAGGACTGCTCCAGTTATTCCCAGCATCTCCCATTGCCTACCAAGGCTCCATGTGGACGGAAGGAGCTCTAGTTGCCACATCCCGGTTCACTCGGGCTCTGGATGTGGACCCTGGCTTTCCAAGAGTCTTTGGGAGCTTTGACTGTTAACAGCATTTTTTCTTTGGGTGTTTTTGTTTTTTTGAGACAGGATCTCGCTATGTAGTCCAAGCTGGCCTTGACCTCACTATGTAGTCCAGGCTGGCCTCAAACTCAGTGACCCTCTTGCCTCAGCCTGCAAAGTGCTGGGATGACAAGCCTGCACCACCACGCCTGGCTCAGCATGAACTTAATTCAACCTCTGGTTTTACCCAGGAGGAAACTGAGGTCCAGGAAAGGGGCTGTGTTTGACTGCAGGGTGTACTGCCTGTAAGCTTGGGCACATGAGGACTATCTCTAAAGAGGGCATAGTCTGGTTGTATACAGAGCACATATAAATGTGAAAAGATACTGAAAAAAGACCCTCTAGGTCAGTGGTCGTGAACCCATGGAAGGCGTGCCACAGTGAGCTGTTACTTATCACTGAAAGCTCTAAAAGGTTTGCCATCACTGCTCCAGGTAGAACAGAAACTCGGATCCCCTTGTCTGGAAGCACTGACACCTCCAAGCTAAGGGATGGCCCATGGAGGGGTGAAAACTCAAGAGCAGAGAGTAGAAGCTGCCTGTCAAGCAGGGGGCTTGGTGTCTTTCATCCGTCAGAATCATTTTCGTATGATTCATGGGCTTGAGAAAGGACCAAGAGACGAAAGTAAATCCCAAAGGACTGGCCAGATTCAGTATAATTATAAATTTGAATTGCACAAAGGCCACAGGAGGAAGCCAATAATGAGAAGTGTTTAAAGTGGCACCAAGTGTGATTCTTCGGCGAGCTTGCCCTCTTGTCCCCTGTGACAGCTCTTCTGGCTCAGGGCCCCTGTCGGCACCAGGTGTCCTGCTCTTCTGGGCAAGGCTGTGCTTATTCTCTTTCTCCAGGCTGCACAGCTTTTGTGCTGGTCACTCAGCCACCAGCCCCGCCGTCCTGCCGCTGGGTTACTCTCCTGCATGTTCCTTACGGTGAAGACAGGCAGGCTCTTATCTTGGTGCCGGCAAGCTGAGGGAATAACAATGCAGATGGTCACCAAACACTATGACCTACCTAAAGAGACAGTTTTTATAGTCTGCGAAATGAGGGCACACTGCTTTCTAGTTCTCATTACAAATTCCCAAGGTGCTGCTGCCCTTTTTTTTGGGGGGGGGGAATGCCTGAAAGTGACCTTATTTAACCAAACTTTGAAGTTTTCTCTGTAGAAAACTTGTCACCATGAGGCTATAAGTGGTTTTCTGATCTCTTCCTTTTTCCTTACTCTCCTGCAGCTCAGCCTAAGACCCACAGTAGCAGAGCTACAAGCACGAAGGATCCTGCGGTTTAACGAATATGTAGAAGTCACTGATTCTCCTGACTATGACCGCCGGGCAGACAAGCCCTGGGCCAGGCTGACACCTGCAGACAAGGCAAGAATCCCATGGCTGTCCTGTTGAGTGTGACAGTACCCTCCACTTGACTATCCCAGGATCTTACCAAATAGTCCAAATCATTTCGATCTCTCGTTATCGAAACCACTTACATGATAAACTTAGTAATATCACTGGAGTCATTCCAGTGAAATCTGAGAGAAAACTAGTTCTCAGTTACCATGTAAGCTGTCTTCATCTAAGGAGAGCATTCCAATAGCTGAGATTTGTCCTTAGTCTTAGAAAATAAAACTTATAGAGCTGGGGATTTAGCTCTGTGCTTCTGCCACCTGCCTTGCAAGTGCAAGGTCCTGAGTTCGATCCCTGGTACTTGCCCCCCACACACACAAAAAAAAAGAACCACAAAAACACAAAAAAAGAAAATATAACTTACATGAGGTTAACATTTTTGAAGATATGTTGACCATGGAAGAGGTATTGATCTGTGTTTTAAAAAGGCACAATTTTATATACACGGCTAGAGAGCAAATATTCTAGAGTTTGTGAGTTGTATATATATATATATTTTTTTTTTCAGATGGTCAGCAGAGTAGGATGAAAGCAGCCATAGACAGATGTAATTGAATGAATGTGTATGTGTTGCAATAAAACTTTATTTACAAGTACAGGTAACAGGCCAGATTTAGTCTGCAGGCCATAGTTTGCCAATACCTGGTTTATACCATTGCTCCTAATCCCCCCAAAAAAAGAAAGACAAGAAATATATAGAGGGTTCCATCATATAGAAAGACTTTGTTTTTATTGGCCCTGAAGAACAAACCCAGGGCCTTGCACATGCTAGTCAACCACTGAGCACATGCATCTGCAAAAGCATGAGTATTCTGGCTCTTTTCCTAAAGACTGATGCTAACCATTCACTTCCAAATTTTCCACATTAGGATTTTTCATATATACCCAATAATGAGGTCTGTTTCTTGTCTCTAAGCAAAATGTTATTTTAAGTAGACTCACATCATACCCAGTCTTCATGTTAGAACAAGGTATTTACTGAATCCTTGAACAAATGTTTAATAGGAAGTCTTTGGTAAAGCAGGTGACATGTGGCAAGCGCATGCTATCGACACCAAGTGAGAAATCAACAGCTCACAAGTAGAAATGAAAACTAGGTAGGAATGCAGGAATTGAAGGGGAGAAGGTTGGTCGCAGAGTGCAGATCAGCGAGGAGGAGCTCGCCTAGCAGGTACAAGCCTTCAGCCCCTCCCGCGAACGATGGCAGCAGAAGATTACTGAGAAGAAACGTGTGGCAGGGGAGGAGAGAGAAGACAGCACAGCGCAGGAAGGGGAGCTTCAGGAGGGCAGCTTCTGCTCAGTAACACGATGAGGCAGGTGTCTGAATGGGCAGGTGGGTGGAAGGCCAACAGTGGCAAAGACCATGGAGATCAAACAGTCCCAGGAATTCGGGCTCTCCGGGGAACAGGTGTGGTGAGTCTGTCTATAAGGTCAGTGGATCAATTTGGAAAGGAAGGTAAGGCACTGAGGGAAGGATTGTTTTCAACTTGTAGGAAACACTCTGGCAATCTTTCATGCTGTGAGAAAAGGGCTGAAAGAAAGGGAAGGGTAGAATATGCAGGAGAAAGACAGGAAGGGAAAGAGCTGGGCATAATCAGTGGGCCAGCCAGTCCACATTTCATGGAAAAGGAGGAGGCCTGGGGACTGAGTGGTGAAACAGACTAACGGGCTTGTCCTAAGCCGGGAGGCTATGAAATAATACCTCCTTGTGATTTCACATTGCCTCTGGACAATTATTCTTCTGGGTCAGCATGTTTTCTTATACTGATCTGGCATTTGAATTTCACTTCTGTGAAAGGCCTGCCTTGCCCATTTTCTTTGGGCCTGTCGGTTTCTTGTTAATGAATAGGTTTCTTCCTGTATCCCAGCTATACATAACAAATAAGCAAGTGCTTTCTTCGGTCTCATGATATTTCAGTTTTCTTCATGGTATCCTGTGATAAACAGAATCTTTAATAGTTGTACTGTATTTATCAACTTTTCTTCTCAATGGCTTGTGATTTTGTTTCTTTAAAGAAACTTATCCTATATCAAAATTATAAACATATATTGCTCAGATAGTCTTTGAAAACTTCTCTTGTTTTGTTTTTCTGATTTAATTTCTTTATTTACCTAGCGTTAATTTTTCCTCCCTAGTACCGGGTATTGAAACCAGGGCCTGTGCACTGAGCTCCATTCCCAGCCCCTTTTTATTTTTTATTTTGAGACAAGGTCTTGCTAAATTGCTAAGTTACCCAGGCTGGACTTGAATTTGCACTCCTCCTGCCTCCGCCTCCCAGAATGCTGGGTTTATGAGAATGTACCACTACACCCAGCTTTGAAGTTGGTTCTTTTGGGAGATACACGGATATGCTTTCAGCTTTATTAGTTATCTCTGTTCTGTTTCTTTTCTATGTCATTGCAGTAGTCTCTTTATCTCAGGTTTCAGTTACCTGCAGTCAACTCTGGTCTGAAAATATTAAGTGGAAAACTCCAGAAATAAGTGCTTCATGTGCTTTAAATTGTGCCCTATTCTGAGTTTCATGATGAACTCTCAAATGTCATGAGATTTTAGGGACGAAGCAGGACAGCTCATCCTATCTCAGGCATCCCCTACTTCCCCCTGCATCCCTACTGGGATGTGGATGGTCCATTTGTCCTGCGTGTCTGGTCACTGGGCGGCTGTCTGGGTTCTGAGATCGACTGTCAAAGCTTTTCAGTGCATGTGTTCAGATAACCCTTACTTTACTTAATAATGGCTCCAATAATTGTCCTATTTTACTATTATTTTTGGTCATCTTTTACTGTGCCTAATTTATAAATTAAAAGTACACTGTATCACAGGTATAGGAGGGCCGGGGATTTAGCTCAGTGGTGCTACTGCCTGCCTCGAAAGCACAAGGTCCCAAGTTCAATCCCCAGTACCAAAAAACAAAACAAAACTGTCACAGGCATAGGAAACAACAGTTTATATTGGGTTTGGTGCTATCCATAGTTTCAGATACCTGCAGGAGGTCTTGGGATGCATCCTCCCTGGATTTGGTAGCAGGTATTGCATTTGCTCCTTTTTCTTTCCTCCTTTTTTTTTTTCTTTTTTCCTGGCTTTATTTGGTTTTTTGTTTCTGGCTTGAAATAGACTATAACGTAGATTTTTATTCGTCTTTAAGTTTTTTTAGTGGTTTTGGGGATTGAATCCAGGGACTTAACATTGAGCCCCGCCTTTCCTTTATTTTTTATTTTGAGACCAAGTCATTAGGTTGCCCAGCCTGGGTTCAAACTTGCAATCCTCCCGTCCCAGCCCCACAGAGTGCTGGGGTTGTGGCAGGCATCACCAATGCCAGCCTATCATTCCTTAATTTTCAGTATAAGCACAAAAGGCTATAAATTACCCTGTGCTCAGTGGTTTGCAACCTTATCTACACTTTGGTACCACCTGGGGAACTTTCACAATGTGAATGTCTGCTCTTCATCTCCTGAGATGCTGATTGAATTGGTCTGGGGTGCAGCCCTAAGTGTTGGAATGTTTAAAGCATGTGATCAGAAATTATAAATGCCTCATATATGCTTTGAAACAATGTGTGTTCTACAGTTTCTAGTGTTCTAATATTTATACAATCAAGCTTGTTAGTTGCACTTAGATATCTGTATTCTTATTTTTTGGTGTGTAGTTAATCTCTCTCATGACAAAATGTCTTAAATCTCCCACAACTTGGATTTTACCCCCTTTGCTCATAATTCTATCAATTTTGCTTCATATTTTCTTAACTGTTGCTCAAAAGAACTTTGCTGCACTGATTGTTGTTACTCCCCCTCCTCTTCAGAAAGCTCCTCGGCTGCCATTCTCTGTTGCTCAGCCAGAAGTTGCAGGAGTTCCTCTCTAGACAGTTCCTCTGAGTGTTCTTCCTCCAGTCCTCAACATCACCACCGTCTACCTGCAGTCCTGTGGGTCAGTTGAAGGCTCAAGTTCCTCTACACAGCCTTCACAGTCTCTCTCCTGCATAATTTTAGGCCACACTTTCTTCCAGGCAGATCTCAATGTCTTTAGAGAGATACTGACCCAGGATTTCTCAACCCCACACAGGAAAGGATGTTGTAATGTTCCTTGCAGAGCTCTGTAAGGGTTAAATCTGTATCTGAGACCATATGGAAGCATTTCAGGAACAGTTCCTTGGTGTACAGCTTCTTAAAGTTGGCTATAACCTGCTGGTCTGTAGGCTGCAGTAGAGGGGATATTTTAGGTGGGAGGAACTCGACTTGAGTGTTAAACCTCTGTCCTGTAGGTATTTCTTAGCAGTGGAAAAGCCTCCTTGATCGGCTTAAGAAAAGTACTCTTGTTACCCAGAATTACCCAGTACTTGTTACCAGGTATCCTTGTTAACCCCATGTGACCCTTAGCCTATTTTTCTTGACTTTATGGTTTTTTAACACTCAGGGATCTCAGAGTGATAAACCATGAGAGGCTTTATCTTGAGGTCACCACTTGCATTGGCACATAGCAATAAGGTTAACCAGGCTTGCGGCCTGGCATTTTCTTCTCTTCCTGGGTAATGTATGTTCTCCTGGGAATTTTCTTCCAGAAAAGGCCAGTTTCATCACAGGTGAAAACTTGATGAGAGCAAGAGCCTTTCTCTGTGTGCTACCTTTGAAGTGCTGTATGAAATTTTCAGCTGCGCTTTTACCAGCACTGGCTGCTTCACCATGCCTAGGAATGCTATAAACCCCAGTTCTCACTTTAAAATTGTGAAACCATTCTTCACCGTCAGGAAGTGTTTCACCACTATCACTCGTTGATGAATTACCTGTTAGAAGATCTGCATGTATACCCCTAGCTTTTTCACAAATTGGAGGCTTAGGCTATAGCCTGCCATCTGCCTTTGATTTATTCACACTAATAATAGCCTTTCTACTTTGTCTAACACTGTTGATTGTGACTTACTAATTTGAGGAACCCCTTTAGCAAAACTAGCTTCCTTATATAAATCTCTTCTCAA